CCCGCAACTCCCCCTGAGATCCATCAGCTGGAGGAATAGCATCTGGCACAGCAGGGGACCTCTAGGACCCCCCTGGATGTTAAGTATTTTGAATATCTCCCTGCTTGAGGTGTATAAACCAGCAACTCTTGGGCATCTGGACCTTCCTAAAGCTTCTCCAGAAACAAGGAGTGGCTGGGCCAGCGCAAAAGATACATTAAAAAAATGGCGAGCAGGGATAGGAAAATGACATCGATGACATTGGCTTCTATTTCCAGTTCTCCTTGCCCTGGTTTTTCAGTCACTCGGTTTCCTGAGTGACAAAGCATTGCAAGGAATTTTAGCAGTCACCTAAGACTTGGTCTGTTAGCCGGAGCAAGGAATGATGGTGCCTGGGGGCAGGAAACTAGCACACTCGGGCCAGGCCCTGCGACCTCTCCCTGTCTCCAGACCTCACCTCAGCGGTGTGGAGTGTAGGGAGGAACCAGGACAAAGGGGGGTGGGAGGGGCCGTTCTTGGAACCTGGGGAGGGCTGGGGTAGCCTGCTGTCCTGCTGAGATGCTGGGCCCTTTTGCCCCACATGACCCAAGTTCAATTTTGTGTTTGGGATGTCCGGGATATGGATGGTGTGTAGGAGAAAAGGGGTGAAACATCCAGTGCCAGCGTCTCCACTTCCTGGCTGTGCCCCAGGAAGAAGCAGGGAGGCAGGGACCTCAGGTATCAGGGCTGGGGCTTTTCGGAGTCTCCCTAGCCACCCCAGAGCCTCTCCAGCATCCCTGGGAGGGTTTTCTCAGCTTGGGCAAGAGGAGAGTCATATTGGGAAAGGAAGAGGAAATGGTGCCCGAGCCAGAATGTGACAGCCCCACAAAGCCGGGAAAAGGAAGGGAGGGCTCCCCTCGGCACGACTCTTCTTCCTTTGCCTCGGTGGAGAACTGAAGCTCTGAGAGGAAATGCCTGCTCTCCCTACTGCCTCTGGGGCGGCTCCCAGATGCACCCGCTCTCCTTCCAAAGTCCACCAGATGCACTGGGCCTGCCCAGGCACCACCGACTACCCCTCTCATGATGACAATAACAGGCATTTATGGAGTGCTCATTAAGTGCTGGGCCTTGGGCCAAACAATTTACAAACATAATTCTCCTGTTTATCCTGCATGGCAGTTCCCATTATCACTGCAATTCCCCAGATGGGGACCGGGCTTAGAGAAATGAAGTAACTCCTGCAAAAACACTAGTAATGAGAGCTGGCCTCTGCGCCCTCAGATCTTGGCTCCTCCCCACTATTCATTTCTTGGCCTTCCTCTCTGACCGCTCTTTCTGTTCCTGTCACTGGTGCCTTTTCCTCTTCCCGGCCCCTAAATATGGGCATGTCCCAAGATCAGTCTCTCTTCCCTTGAGAAGCTCCTTTTCAATAAAAGCTTAAGCCCCCGTGGGTAAACGTGCTAGGAATAAATCTCCATCTGCATATCTGTAAGGGGGAGGGAAAAAAAAAACTCATCTGACCCCTGGCGGTTGCTCTCACAGGGGCCCGATATTCATTCTGCTGCTCTCTCAGTTTACGAAGACTGATGGTGATAGAGAGCAGGGTTCCCGAAGAATTCGGTCTGAGGTAATAGCAGGACGAACTAATTTCAAAGCTTCGTTCTTTGTTTTGCCAAGGGAGGCCAGGAGCTTGTGCACTGCTTGATTAGGTATTAAAGTGACCTCCTTTCCTCTTAGCCAGGAGTGAGACTATGGGGCCTAAATGATTTGCATAATAAAACATCAGCAATTTTTTAGTGGTCCCCTGGGGGTTCTAAAAGGAGAAGGTGAGGTGGGGGAAGTCATCATGAGACTGGGAACCAGAGGAGGAGGAGAAAGCTCAGATGGTGGGGGTGGCAAAGAACAGAGGTTGTCTGTCAGTAAGGGCCCCCACTTGCTGTCCTGGGGAGGCTGGGGCTTGTTTCCAGTTATATCCTCTGTTCCCCTCTTACCCAGAATGGTGTCAGATGCCAGCCAGGCCAGCTTTGTGGACACTATGGGCTGGGGAGAGTGGTGTAGAGAGGCCCCTGCCATGTACAGGGAGGGATGATGAACAGGCTGAAGCAGAAGCTGGGGCAGATGGGAGACTATTCTCACAATAAAAGCCATCCTCACTCCCAACCCCTGTCCCCTAGCTGGGGACTGCCACCATTTTGTTTAGGTATTCAAGGAAGTGGCAGGCCTGTGTGGCTGGAGGACACAGATCTTGACGTTCAGTCTCTCATCCTTATTTCATTCTTCTTTGTTTTAATGGGAGAAACCTAGTATTTATTTTTTACTCTCCTAATTCAGAATTTTTAATACAGTATTTAAACAAACTAAGCTTTGGTTTTATTTTTCTCAAATAAGCTCTCTATATTATGATATGATATAATAGATATGACGGTGAGAGAATGCTTAAAATTATTTAAAGAAAAACACTATTTTCATACATTCTCAAAAGTTTCAGAAGCCCTAATTACCTAATGTGCTAATGACAAATCATTATCTGGTCACTAAAACAAGCTCTATGAGAATCACTAATTTGATTTAAACTCTTTAAAAATAATGAAGTTGCATTCTTTAGAAATAGTCCACACTAAGATTTCTTTCCTTGTTCAAAATGCCTTTTCTCTTTTTTAGAACTGAGGCATAATTGACATAAAACATTATATTAGTTTCAGGTTACAAGGTAATGATTTAATATTTGTATATATTACTAAATGATCATCACAATAAATCTAGTTAACATCTGACACCATATAGTGTTACAATTTTTTTTTCTTACGATTAGAACTTTTAAGATTTCCTCTCTCAGCAACTACTTCCATAGTTCCTCCTTATTTCTCACCTGAACTCCAAGTCTGTGTTTCTATATTTCCACAAGCCCCTACGATATCTCCACTTGGCTACCTCCCACTGATGCTTTTCCAAAGTGATTCTGTTTACAACTAAATATTGCTACCTGAGGAAACAACCCGTCCCAGGAAACAACAACTAAACGAACAGGTTTCCCTTTCTAATCGTTTTATTTCTATCAGGGGTACCATTGCCAAAGCAGTCTTTCAAACAGGAACCTTGGGAAGGAAATCATCATTTGTCCTTACAGACATGGTACAGAGCATTCACCTAGAGCCCGCACCATGCTACAAACCTAATCTGAATGACCTTTGAATCTTCCCTATGAGGCAAGGACTGTTAATATTTATATCCATTTGCAGATGAAGAAATGGCAGCTCGGCGAGGCCATATAACTTACTCAAGTTTACCCAGTTAGTACGTGGTAAGAATGGTGTCTGAGCCTAGATTTTCACTCATTCAATATAGGCTTTTAACCAGTTTCTCTAAGGCTCATTTGTCTCTTCCGTCTTTAGCTCCTTTCTTCCTCCCCTCCCTCCTCCTCCTTTTCTTCCTCCTCTTCCTTTTCCTCCTCCTCCTCCTCCTCATCATCATCATTATCATCAGGTGTCCCTAAGGCCATGACACTAAACCTCAATGTTTCACACCCAAACTAATAGAGTAAATCTGCCACCTGACGATTTGAGACAAGACACACTGATTTCAGCATGGCATTCCCTTCCTCAAGAATCCATAGTGGCTTTCTTCTCAACACAATTCAGCTCAGTCTTATCCAGTCCACACTCTTCTGTAGCTCTTGGGGTCCTGGAGAGCCTAGCCTCTCATCACTAGCTCACATAAACCCTTTGCTCCGGCCTCAGACAGACATGGTCACTATCCCCAAACAAATCCAGCCCAAGTGCTCCCTTGATTCTATTGCTCATGGTCTTCCCTGTCCTTAAAATCCAGCTCAAATCCTCACTCTTCTTTGGTCATCCTGCTCCTGCTGTGGGTTGAACAGTGGCCTCAGAAAGATATTTCTAGGTCCCAATACCTATGAATGTGACCTTACTCGGAAAAAGAGTCTTTGCTGAGGTGCAAAGATCCTAAGTTAAGAATCTCAAGATGAGATCATCCTGGACTTAGGGTGGGCTCTAAATCTAATGACTGGTGTCTTTATAAGAGACAGGAGAGGGAGATTTGGACACAGAGGCTGAGAGGATGGCTGTGAGAAGACAGAGGCAGAGAGTGGAGCGAATTTGCCATAAGCCAAGAAACATCTGGAAGCTGGAAGAGGCAAGGAAGGATTCTCTCCTAGAGCCTTGGAGAAAAAGCGTGGCCCTGCTGACACCTTGATTTCCAACTTCTGGTCTCCAGAATTGGGAGGGAATAAGTTTCTGTTGCTTTAAGCCACACAGTCTGTGGCGGCAAAACAGCTCCATCTGGATATCTCTTCCGAACTCCTCTAGCTTTAACCACATAAACCTGCCTACATCATTCACCTTCTCGGGCTCCGTGTCATCGGAAGTCACGGAAGTTCAAATTCCTTGCGTGGCATCCAGAGATGGGCATGCTCCATCTCCGCCACCACCTAGTGATAAGAGCACCCAGGCTGGTGTTTCTCGCAACACACGTAACTGTTTCATATCTTTGACCTTTGCACATTCTGCTTCTCCTTTTGAAATAATTTTGTTTTTTTCTCCGTCCTTATTTCTCGGACGTACTCCTAGATATTCCCCCAAACGGTGCTCAGACAAGAGTTCCTCTGTGAAGGCTTTTCAGGGTCCCCTCCCTCTGCACTGTCCCTTTCCCAACCAACCCCTCCAGACAGAACGAATCACTCCCTCCTGGTCCCAGCTCCATTCTGTAGACATATTTCGACATTCACACACTAACGTGTCTAGCTAGGCTGCAGCGTGTATTCCCTGAGAGCAGGAAAGGTGTTTTACTCCTTTCTGGTTCCCTAGCACAGAGCTAGTGCCTGCAGCCAGCCAGGGCCCCATTAACAGCTGTTAATTGGAGGATAAAGTGTCAAAGTGAATTGTTTGAGAAACCTTTAGGGGATGCTGTCTTGGCCCCTGGCACAGTGGTTGTCCCAAGGTTCTCTTCCTTGCTCTTAGGGATGGTCAAGGCTGCATCTCCCGCCTGAGGGCATCTCCCTCCTGAACTTGCAGGCGCTCTCTCTCCTCCTCTCCATGCTCCTGTCATCCCTCCCCGTGCCTGGGCCTGGCTCTCACATACCTGGGCCTGCTGGGTCTTCTCCAGCCACTGGGCACAGTCTGTAGCACTGGGACAGTGCACAACGAGGGCACTGGAGACGCACTGGAATTCACTGAGGTGGATCACCAGGAAGCTGTCTGGATGGAGGAGAAGGTCTGCTTCAAGGGCCAGACCTTTGGAAGCCCATCCCAACTCCTTCCCATTGCCAAGAGGAAAGGAGAAGGAAAAGTTCCCCGCAGGAGAGACATACGAGGGTCTCGAAGTGGTCGACACACAAGCTTCTCCAGCATGAAGGGGGGGCGGATAACCTTGGCTTTGTCTCCCTTGCGTTGGGGTTTGGTCACCAGGAGCACGTCAGAGAAGAGGAAAAGGTACACGTCGAGCTGGGGGCATGCATAAGAGAAAGAGACAGAGTCAGCTGGAGCAGGGGGAATGGCAGGACAGGGATTGGGGCTCATGCATGGGTATGCACGCCTGGGTGCACTCAAGCACAGGGACAAGTACAGAACTGTAGAGCAGAGCCGGAAGTGGTGTCAGCTTGGTCCCTTCTTTAACTTAACGGGCAGAGAAACTGGCTGACTCAGGGTCATACAAACAACTAGAGCTTAGCCAGAACCATGTCCTCTTCCCAAGACACACACAGACGTGACACAGATGCACAGGCACACACACCCTTTTCTCATTTCCAGCTTTTCTGACTCATTTTGTCTCCCATCATCTTTCCCTTCTCTTCAAGCCGTCTCTCATCTTCTCTGCTCCTGACACCAGCTCCCTCACCTTCCCTTCTCGCCCTTCCTTCACTCGCACGGGTCCCTCCAGCAGCAGCTGCCTGATGTGCTCAGGAGCAACGCCCAGCATGGGGGACGTCAGGTCCAGGCTGGAGAATGGACGCAGGTTCTGCAGGACACAGAGAGGAGAGGGTCAGGGGGCTGGGTGGGGCTCGTGTCTGCCTCCCAGCCAGGGTGGTTCTTTGCTCCATCACCAGAACTCTCCTCCCTCTGCTTGGAAAGAGAGGAAGCGTTTCAGTGTCTCCTTTCTACTATTTTGAACTCTGCCCCTGGGATCCTCACCACTGGGAGGGAATATTGGGCACACCCGTCTGGTGGCCCCCCTGCCTCTTCTCCGCCAGGCCTCTGCTTCATCCATCTCCCTGGGGACCTTTTTTAACGAG